TCTCTCTTTTTTTTTTTTTTTTTTTTTTGCATTTCATGGTTACAGATTAAGTTTTGTTTATTGTACATATAGACAAGTTTACAACGAGAGAGACGACGCTTAATGGTACGGTATTCAACTTTGTTAAGCTTTTGTTTGCTCAGAATGTCATATATTTTTATGAATCATATTACAGGCTGGTATAGTCGTCCTGAATATCATAAAGTTAACCATATTAAATTCTAGATAGGTGATCGATGTCACAATCGTGTTCTTACAGGACTTGTAAGTGATTGTGCGGCACTCATTCTCACCACTGAGTGAGTCAATCAACTCACGCATACCCAAGCTTCTGGCTCTATTTTAAGAAGGTTTTAGTAAACGAGGACAGAGAGAGATTTTAGAAATGAGTTTAAAAGCATGATTGAGAGAAATGAAGAAAGCAATTTTACCGGCTACAAACTTTACTAAAAAGACAACATGATAACTTAGATAACACAAAACTTCGAATAGGCAAAATTAATGACGGGCTGCATCCCTATACATTTTGAGAGAGATATTTCTATAGTACATTTTGAGATATTTCAAAGCGAAATACATCCTTCTGTAGAAGTTGTAATCATGTGCCACTTGGCAGTATGATTCAATAATTGTTTTGAGTTCAAATTTCCTGAAAATGATGCAATATTGTTATTAAATTTAAAGTCAAACTTTTGGTTTGCTAAAACTCTCTCATCAAAGCCTTCAACGAACAATAAAATTGAATTAAAAAGCTCTCTGACATTCCCAAAAGCTACACCTTTGCCCCTTCACATTAACATAAAGTTCATCTCCATATACCACTCCTTAATTATAAATTATAAATTGTTTACGTCTTAATTAGAACAATTAATTAGAATTAGAATTAGAATTTCGTGGCTTCATAAAAAAATATATTTAAAAATTTATAATAATTTATTAATAATACCTAACTACGTGGAATTGGAAAATATGTATTCATGCTGACGTGTGATGAGATTAGATTCATTGCAGTAGGAAGGTGGGACCCAAAACCCCATCCCCATACTTTGGTGGAATTTCAATCCACGTCATCTCCAATTTCACAGATTCCTCCATCACCTTCATCAACGGCTCTCATTTATCCAAGCCAGCTGCCAGGTGGGTCCCTTTCGTGCACGCTCCGGTATATTCAAATAGGCTTATGGGTTATTACCATTAATTAAATATCTAATCATTTCCAATTTATTTATTTTCAAAATATTGACTAATTCATTAATCATAAATTATTCAAATAAACCGCCAAATATATTTAAAAAAACCATAAAAATGCATCATTTTTATAACTTTTAATTTCGTAAAGGAATAATTTTGTATTATCAAAAAAAAAAATAATAATGTTTTATAAGTCAACCATTCCTTGCTTCCAACTATACAACTACTCAGCCCTTATATCTTGGCTTATATTATTCTTCTTTGGTCCCTATTTCTTACGAACCATAATTTCTTTTGTTTTGTCGGTTCGCTAGAGTCTTGGGGTATCCAAAAATCGTACGTTTCTATTAAATTATGAACGTACCATCTAAAAAATTAAATTATTATTTTAGTTCGTCAAACTTAATGAAAATTTATGTTTAATGAGATACAAATTTAGAGTTAAGTATCATGAGTCAACGGGCAGGTTCAAGGGCTCGAGCTAATCTACTCATGTGGGGCCATTGAACTCTTGTTAAAAGGGAGGTTGCTTCTTCAACTCCTCTCAATAACTTCGCGTTATATTAATTTTTTTTCCCTCTCTCTCTCTCTCTCTGTCTTTGTGGGACTTGAAAATGGGAATCTGCATATCCGCTGCATCTTCTC